TGCCCAATCTTCCAAGTCCAGTATTCGATCCGTTCTGAATGCTACTGCCACCCACGTTTCGTCAAATGTGTGGTTCGGCGTACCCGTTCGTTCTGGCCACATGTCAAAGAAAAACACGAGAATTGAACACGTTGATCTGGAAACTGCCACCGACAGTTCGAGGCGGCACCACCAAGAAGAGCACCGCTGGTTAACAAACTTGGAGACTGGCCACTAACCAATTGTCGTTTCTTTTGCGTGACGATACCCTACCTCGATTTCAGGGTGGTTTCATGATCGTCTGCAATCACGCAGACCCATGGCTAACCGGGACAGAAGACGTGGTGCGCTGCACCCCTCTGTTCGGTTCCCCCCGGCGGTGGGGGTTTACACACCGCCCGTGTCCCCGCCGCATCCGGCCGCTGGCCAGCGGACGGAGGACCCATCCTCTCCAAGTGCTGCGAGAGGCAACGAAGCGGGAACGCGACGTCGCGGGAACGCTGGGGGGAAGTACAGACACCGAGGCCAAGTAGAGCGAAGCGCCAGGCGCAAGATTCAGGCGCGCGGTCGAAAGGTTGGGGGCGAAGATCAGGGAAGAAGCGTCAGGCGAGGGTTAAGGCCAGACGTTCTTTGGCTCTACTACAACCGCAGTTGCAGCAGAGGATTACAGATATGGACTACAAGGAGCAGCAGTCGGTGGCGAAGGCGGAAGCAAAGGTCCGCAAGGAACGTGAGATCGCCGAGGCTGAGCGTGACAACACGGCGAGCACTACCCCGGGAATTCGTTCTCGGCGGCGAGTTCAAGATGGGAAGAGACCACGAGCAGTTGCCGGTAGTGACGGAAGCAAAAGAGAACGGAAGCCACGCGCAAAGGCCTGCGGGCGCCAGGAATGCGGTTGGGTCACCACCACCCCCGGCGAGCCATGTAATCTGTGCCCACGGGGGGAGCATTTGGCAGGAGAGAAACTGTGTGCTGCATGTCACAGGTCGGCAGATGAGAAGGGCTTCACGCACATCGTCAGTCGCATTTTTACGGCTAGAGATATCTGCTCCAGAATGACGACTCTACCCGGGAGCGTCGTGCATGGGTATCATCCGGACTGTAGTCATTGCCTCTGCCAACGCGAAGACTGCTTCCACCACTTCGTTGTTCAGGGCGCCAGGACGAGGTTGAAGAGGAAGTGCGACGAGTGCAAGCAAACTTTCCCGGTCAAGGGAAGGAGATGGCACCCCGCGGTAGACGACAAGGACGGGAGGGGGTCCTCGCGTGAGGCTTCCTTGCGTTGCCACGCCTGCTGTATGCGGGATCAGAACAGGAGGTCCACGTCAGCATCGCAAACGCCAGCCGGTAATCGACCCGATGTCGTCGCTCCCACCACCTTGTTGCCAACCCGATCCGGTAGCGTACCTGATGTTGTTCCTGTCACCTCGGCGTCGCAGGAGGCAGGTGGTAGTGGACAATATGCGCCGGCAAGTACCAACTCATCTCAACCGCAAGTCGAAAGTGGAGCCGAGCCTGTCACCGCCCTCACCTCGTTGCAAGAGACACCCGGCTGCATGGCCGAAGTGGCTGGTGCGCCCGCGTTACTCCAACCACGGCCCCCAAGCGCTGTTGAAGTCTCTGGCCAAGCGGCGGTGGATCGAAGAGCTGTGGAAAAGGTGCGTTCTAGGGTGGAGGAAGCGGTTGGGCAGGGGCAGATCGTGTACTGGAAGGACGCGGCGGGGTGGCTATCAGCTGAACGCGCGAGGGCTGGCGATAAAGACTTTGTATGCCGTACACACGAAAGATCGTGCGTACGATGTTCAACAGCATCGCCGATTCTCCCGGGAGTATATCGCGGGTGGTCTGTCCCGAAAAATGAAACCATGGGGGAGAGGACGCACGCGAGAGAGGCCAGGCATCATCTCTCGGTACCTCCGTCGAGGGGCGGGGGCCGGGGGCATCAGGGGGGGCGTCTGTATAACCTACTTCTGGAAAAAACGCTGAGAAGATCGACAAGGCCAACCGTCATTTTCGGAATGTAGGTCGGCGGCTTGTGATGATATGCACGGGCGTGGTAAAAGCCGTTTTAGGCCCACGGTACATGGCTTCGCATCATATCAAAGCAGTTCAGTGGGCCAAGTCGAAAGGTACCCCTCGGGTGGTGGTCGACTTCTGCGCGGCCCATGGCATGTGGGCGACGGATAGACAAGTACGGCATCGAGAGGATTTCAATGCGAAGGTCGTGGAGGACGGCGATAAGCTTCCGAAGGATGTCACCTGTGGTGCGTTTCCGTACGACAACTGTGACATGGAACCCGTGGTTGGAGTTTGCCAGGGGGAGCCTCATCTGTCGACGATCGCAGCTTCGGCCGTCACGGTGGGGGGGTCGGTGGGTAAACTCGAAGACGCCTCGAGGTTGAAGCGGTATAGCCTCCTGACCTTGGACGACGTGATGAAGGGGCCAAATGCACAGGGGGGCGAGCGGCGGTTCGAGGCCTTCCAGTCACAGCTCACAGCTCCGACGTGCCGTTTACGAGAGCGCGTCGTTAGGTTCGACACCGGACGGGCCGCTGTGGTGTGTGGAGGCTCAACTCCGAACGGTTGGTTGGTGTGGTGTGGTGTGGTGCTATAAGGAAACCTTTCCGTTAGGATGTGAGTCATCAACTTCCGAAAACGTTTGTACCCTTTGAGGATAATGCAGGAAACGCGGGACCGTAACAGAAGACAAAGTCGACACCTTGCAACGCTTGATTGCTGTATGTTTTTTTGGGGGGTGAGCAATCAAAACAACGGAAGGTGCTGATTTTTGTATCGCTCAACTTGAATTATTGTTGGGTTGCTCTTGGTCGTTTGAAGGATTGATGGTATGAAGGCGATAGTTGAGGCGAAGCAAACGTTATTCTGTCTTTCTTGGTCCCCCCGTCCCTTCGAATTTTCTGCTCTAAAAATACGCTTACGCAACCACGTTTTTCGAAACAGGATCTAACGCCGGAGGAGAGAGCTACTCTCGACGGCCGGTACGTGTTCATCCAACTAGGGAGTACAAAACAATTCACCGACAACTAGGCGGCCGTCGACCGCATCCTCCGGATATGGCGTGGTACGGTCGCCGGCAAGAACGGTGCGCCGTGCATCATCGCCGGGGACGAGGAGACGTACCGCGTCTTGTACCACATCCAGAAGCAAGAGCGCATGGCATATCGTCAACTTCGTCGGTACCCGGGTGATTGGCACCTCCTCTTGCACATGGCGAAGGCTCTTCTCAAGCGGTATTGGGGGGCTGGCGTAGAGTTCGTGGCGAAGGATTTGGGCACGGACAACAGCAAGTCAAGCGAGGGGAGCAACTACCGACGGGCACACCACCATCTCGTCGTGATGTGGGAGGCACGTATGTCTTTATGTCCGAAGATGTGCCTTCCACCAGGGGAGGATATGACGGCGGAGGATGCCGACAGCATGGTGGTTGCGTGGATCAAGAAGCGAGCGGCAGAGCACAAGACGTTCGCCCTATGGCAGCAGTTCCTCTTGCACGACTTTCCTGCCTACATGGCCTTCCGGACAGCGCTGCGCACGGGAGATTTCATGCTGCGGCTTGACGCACTTCGCCGTATCGCTCCCATTTTCTACATCACCGGTAAGGACCGATACCAATTCCTGGTGGTGGACCTTGCGGAGATGTCAAGGATGTCGGAGTCGGATCTGAAGGTGATAGTCAAGCTATTTTCCGTCTCCCTCAGCAAGGATGCGTGTGCCCGGCTTGGTTTGGATGAGAGGCAGGGGCTTACTAATCGTATGTACAAGACCTTGACGAAGAGGATACTTCCGAGTTTCATCCACAAGCTAGCCCCGACTGCGGTGCTTCGAGAGATAGCTGAATTCGAGTTTAGGCGGGAATTCCTCGAAGGACCACGTACGGAACGGGATAGATGCCGCGAGCTGGCTTTACTGCGTGCGCCTGCGGTCAAGAAAGCAGTCAAATGCATGCGAGCCAGCCCGTTTTTTTAGGGCGACTTAGGCAAGGGGAAGGTCGTGGCCTTGGACGGGAGGGTGTTTCCAGAGGCAAGGTGGCAAGAAGTTCTCGGTGCCCCGGCAACGGCGTCAGAGAAGATGCGGGAGTTTATCCTGTACTTCGTTAAGAAGGACAAGACGAAGAAGGGAGCGACAAAAAAGAAGTTCTTCTCCATCCCGGCTTTAAACACAGAGAACAAGTCGACGAGGAGCAAGGGGAGGTCGTCAAAGCTGAAGGATACAGTTGGCAACGCCTACGCGGGGGGGCGAGCGATGAAGGCGATGGTGCTGAACATCTAGGACATGGTCGAAGGGGTGGGGTCGTTGTCCGAGGAACAAGTGGTGGACATGGCGACGAGGATTGGAGCATCGACGCCATTTAGCATGGCAAATGCTACCGGAGGTGAGGGATATCTCAATGGACTCATGAAGGGGGGAGAAACGAGGGGGTAGGGGGGAAGAGAGAGAGGTTGTGATAGACAGAGAGGGCACCCATTTTTTTTTGGCAGTACTATAATCACTTGACCCACGCATCGATAGCGGTGTATCGTTACCACGACAGCAGATTGACGACAAAACGATGTTTGCGTTGGTGCAATACCGAAGCTAACGGTGCGAATCGACCGTTGTCGGTGTTCTTCAGCTCCGGCTATCGGAACAGTGATAGTACGTTGCTTGCATCATGAGACTATTTCCATAGGACCAATCATACATATGCGTACCTGCACCGCGTGGTTCTGTATTTTTTTTTCTGCTCATTTTCCAGAACTACCTTCTACGTGTAGCGATATTCTAACGTAATGATCAGAGCCCCTACTTTTTATTTTTTGGTGAAAACTACCACTTAAAAAACTGCGGAGCCACGCACCAACCCCTCGCACCGCCAACGCCACCCTCCCCCCCCCCTGCCCAATCCCTTCCCCCATGTCCATTGCGTGTGCTGACCAAATAACGATACAGGGGCTAAAAATGCCAACAATCCGCAGGCCCGACGAAGTGGCTCCAAGATCACAGCTCCGACGCCGTCGCCGACGAGCCGTTTTACACCGTGCATGCCCACGGAGTGGATCTGCCTGTGTCAATATACCAAGGGGTGAGGCAACGGGACTTGGAGGGTGGGACAGAGGGGGTTATCAACTACTTCGTGAGCGAGTTGGATTCGAGGTGGCGGATGGGAGCGGATCTGCTCCTGGTGCGCTACGACCGTGCTCCACTTGTCCCCGCAATCAAAGGACGCGAGCAGTCGGGAAGGACGGACAAGATCGGGGGATGCGCTCTCTCGTTCGACCCGACATCGACGGACGCCATCCCCCCGTCGCAATACCAGTCATGGCTTCGTGACAACCAGAAGGCAGCGCGAGATGGTATCGCCGCGCACCTCGCCATGGACATACTCGACGACAAGAGGTGGACTGGAGACTGCACTCCCAACGGAGTCGTGGCGTTTTACGGTGTCGGAGGTGAGGCTGGTTTGAGAACATCTGATGCCGCTACCCCCGCGGTCAGCTCCGGGGGGGGCGTACAGGGAGGACCGTCCACATCACCAGAGGTACCGGTGCCGGTCGACAGCATCGAAAGTAGCACCATGCGCTCTGGTGGGGACGGGACCGAGGAGGGCGGAGTTCCAACGCTTGGAGAAGAGAACCCTCTTCTCCACTACCGAAGGGGCGCGGACCGTTCGGTACAACGAGAACGTGGCCCCAACATCGGCGAGGCCGAGCTGTCTCTCGGCCACTTCATCGTGTGGGCCAAAACGTACTGGGGACGGAATTCCGAAAACTGGCTGGTTACTTCGGTGGACACGGACCAATGGATGATCATTTTGCTGGCGATGAGTACGGGGTTCCTGAAGGCCAGTGGAGAGGGGGCGGTTGAAGTGACTGCGCACAAGGTTGGGGGTGGTGACCCGAAGTTCATATGGGAGCATTACGGAGCGTGGGATCATCCATGTTCTTCACATGGAAAACGAAACCTCTTCGATGCAAGCTGTTCACAACGCGAGGAAGAAAGTGCCCGTGGGGGCCTTCAGAGAAATCGATGCGTATCTACAGCGAGGTCCGCATGAAAACAGGGTGTTTGCCATAGATGGCTCAAAGGTACACGTACACCCTTCCTTCCGTATAAAACACGTGCAAATGACAAACCCGTACCGAGGCCCGCAAAGAGGCCTCTTGTTATGCTTTCTTCTATGGTTGACGTGACAACTAAAGCGTGCGTTGATTTTGACGTTTCAAACCACTTCAATGAGAGAGCCGCGGCCATTACTCTTCTGCGTAGCGTGAAGAAAAGAGATACACTAGTGTTCGGACGGGGTTACCTTTCTAGACAGCTTCTGCGGAGCGTGCACGAAGTAGGAACCTCCTGTACCTCGCACGATACATGGACCCCAACAAGTACAAAACGTACATCTGCGGGGGCTTGAGTGCGGAGACGTCCATTGGCGTCATCCAAAACACCACCTCGGCTGTCTTAGCCGGGGGGAAGCTCGAGTTGCAGTTCGTTATGCGCAGGAACGACAGCATGGTTTCACGCCCGTAGAATATGTTATCCTGAAACCTCCGGAATCTAGTTTCGAGCGCTTCGGCGGTGACAGTGTCCCCCTCGTCGTCGGAACCGTCGTCGTGGATGAGCAGGTCACGTCTTCTGCGACTGTAGGTTGCCCAGTCCGCCGAAACCTTTCCCTCGACGCGCTCGGGAGTCATGTCTGTTTGCGGCCTACGCCACTTATTTATCGGGTGAGACTGTTTTGGTGATGTATTAACTTCACGAGAGGTCGACGACCGTCCTTCACACGGACGAAAGAGGGAGTGCTCAAAGAGCG